TTTATATTCAGATTAGTAATATAATACTGTTGATTTCCAACCATTTCTAATACATTTTGTTATTAACTTGGATCATTGACAATATATATATATTTTAGGGTTATATTAATAAAATTAATCTTTTTTTGTATATGTAAAGGTCATTTAATGAACTATTCAAATTCTGTGTGGTTGAAAACACAAACAAACATTAATCAATTTCACTTGGAAAAATGAACATCTAGAAAAGACCAGATAATTTCTTTCTTTTTTTCTTTTTTTTTTTTAGAGAGAGAGATTTTTTTTGTCTAGGTCATGTGTACTTGCTGGAAGGGCAGAGAGACAGAAAGCAAGAAATCACCTCCCCCCTGGGGGGAATAGCTATATTGCAATTCCCTCTCCTCCATTCTCCTCTCAGGATCTTGGGCACACACACAAACACACACACATGCCTGGTGTGAGTTTTAAGCCGCTGAGTCTGGTACTCAAACCATGGTCGACTATATGGGAGTCCAGCGACACATCCATTATGCCATCTGCTGGTCCCAAGGCCAGATAATTTCTAAAATAAGATTAATAGAGAAATTAGCAAAACTTTTAACCAAAACACGTAATAATCCAGAATAATACAAAATGTTGAAGGCTGGCCCTATAGCCTAGTGGTTAAGGGAGTCAGATCCTGCATGGTTGACCATGGTTTGAATCCTGGTCCCTGAGGCTTGAAAAATATGCCAAGTACATATGTATGCATGCCCCAAATCCCAAAAGGATGGAGAAATGGAGAAGAAATTGAAGCATGACCATTCCCCATTGAGGATGCTTTATCCTTCTTTCTTCTCCTCTGGTGAGTACATGTGCCCTCTGGCAACTAATAAGATTCAATTTATACAAAAATGCAGTATTATTGGGACCAGCAATTAGTGTAATGGCTATGTTGCTGAACTCCCATGTAGCCAACCGTGGTTTGAGTCCCAGACCTGGTGGCTTAAACTCACGCCAGGCGTGTGTGCGTGTATGCCCAAGATCCCGAGAGGAGAATGGAGAAGGGACTGCGGTGTGGCCATCCCCCCTGGGGGGTGATTTCTCGCTTTCTATCTCTCTGTCTCTGTCTTTCTGGCGAGTGCACGCGCCCTATAGCAAAAACTTCTCCAAAAAAAAAAAAGTAATATTATTATAGTTGTAGATAATAAGAAGCAAACAGAGAACACAACTTGACACAAATAAAAAATATTAACATATTATTAAAATGGGGGCCAGCAAGTGGCATGGTGGTTAAGGGTGCTGGACTCTCACATGGCCGACTACCGTTCAAGTCCTGAACCTGGCAGCTTACTTTCTCTCTCTCTCTCTCTCCCTCTCTGGTCAAATTAAAATAAATAAATAAATAAATAAAACAAAGTTTAATAAAGTAATTCTTTAAAAAAAAAAAGATTTTATTAAAATGGATGGGGCCAGCAAGTGGCATGTAGTTAAGGCTGAGGATCCCCATATGGCTGACCGTGGTTTGAGTCCTGGACCTAGTAGCTTGCTTTCTCACTTTCCCTTTCTCTTTGTCTCTCTCTGGTGAGCACATATGCCATATAGCAAAAACTTAAAAAATAAATAATGTAAAAAAAAAGATATTAAAATGAAAACATAAATCTAAAGGGAAAAGAAGTAGTTAATGGCTTTAAAATAATATTTATTTATGAAAAGTAATATTAAATAAGGTAACTCTCAGTCGTCTTATACTAAAATAATTCCAATTGATTTAAGTTATAAAAATACTTTACTAAAACCATAAAAGTACTAGAACGATGTATATTTTAATTATTATTTTAAACTGTTATAATGGGGAAGGCCTTTGAAACAAGAAAGAACTGGAATTCATTAGCCATAAAATAGACAAACTTAATTACACAAAAATTAATAATTCCTGGATATGAGACAATAAATCAAAATATCAGTCCATAACAAAAAAATATCCACCATAATGATGTTAATGTTTTACATACTTGAAGATTGAAAAGAAAAAAGAACAAGAAAACCAATACTTTCAGAGTAAAACTTAGAAGGCAATACAAATAAGTAAGAGTAATATGTTTCAAATAACAAAAACATGTTTATTGAGGGGAAAAAAGTTCTGTAGTTTACTTCCACAGAATATTGAGGATATATTCTTAAGTTAACCACAGAAAGAACAAATATTAAACTCCAACTATTTGGTTTGTTTTCCACAGTGGTGTGGGTTCATCCTCATACTGCTTTCCGGTAACCCAGAATTGTACAGATGGATTAACACTGAGGATCACGGTTTCTCATGATAGAGAAGGGCATTGCAATAAGAGGGAAATGTAAGAATGAAGCTGTTGATGTTGGATTGAAATTTGAGCTACCAGTATAAACTTATGGACTCTAATATAGAAATAGAAATTGAAGAAGATAGATGTAGGTTTAGCTATTATCAAGTACTGCAATGAGTTAGAGATTTTACCTTCTTATGAGCCAAAAAATTAGCCTGTCACAATTAAAAAAAAAAAAAGCAAAGGCTTTCTCTTTAATAAATTCTTTGATTATAAACAGATCTTGAGTGACATTTGTTCTAAGAACTATTAACTTATTTTTCTGGTGTCTCTTCTGTGTGTTTCCTTGAAGACCAGAATAAAATTAATTATCCAGAACATATTTAATGAAATTTACCTTGCTTTAATGAAAAACAATCATAGGATGAAAGAATATTTTTAGATCTGAGACAGCAAATATCATTTATACTATTGCTGAGCATGCTGCATAAATTTTTCATCCTTTTAAAAATAAAAACTCAGATGTTCTTAACAGGAAGGATAAACAAAAGTGAAATATAAACTCTTTGTACCTTTTCCTGAGACTCTTGACATGATGATTTGTATTCGTTGGCCCACATTTTTTTTTTTTTCTGTGCCTGGGTACATTATTTTCCATACCAGTGTGATCATCTGATTTCAGTTGTTCAAATTCTTTCCCATCATCTGGGTGCTGCCTTTTCTTTTGTGTGTACATTTCACAAAACAGAATAATAGCAACCAAAAGAACAATCTCAGCAACTACTCTACGAAATGGTTTAAGGGGTACCAAATAGGTCAGAATGACAAGTTCAATGTGCTCTTCACTTTTGCCTAAATGGAATAGTACATGGTACCAGTAAAATCTCTATCTTTTTTCAAAAGTTGCATTATCTTGAGTCTTGTTTCTTTAGCATATCTTCCATTTATCACTTACATATCATTGATTTGAACTCAGCAGGTGCACTCCTATCACTACTGCACCAGGTCCAATTTAAAGGTAAGCCATCTTGACATGTACATACCAAGACAGTAGAATCCCCTACATATCCCCTACATAAGTAACCAATGGCTTTTTTCCATGAATTTTAGAGACTTTGAAATGCAGTGTTCTCCTTTGTTCCTTTTCTTCTTCAAAGATACAAGAATAACTTCCAATATACTTGTTATTAAGGATGGTGAACATGTATTGGGTATACAAGATGCTTCCTGCTGCATTGACAAGGTAATAATTATCAAGTAATAGTTCATCACCTGTTCTCCAAGTCGCATTAACTGAATTCAAATCCTCAGATGTAAACTGGCATGAGTTCTCCATTAGAAGGCTTTTATAAAGTGATAATTTTTTTTCTTCTGGCACACTGGAATGTTCAATGATATATTATGGCTCTCCAAGGAAAAGTTAGAGTGTTTTTCTATCATTTCTTCTTGAACAAGTACACTTATAAAAGATAAATGTGGGGAATTGCCATCCACCAAGCTTGGGTATACAATGGCAAGGAGGCACAGGAGGAGCAACATGCCTCAATTTCATAGATGTGGTAGAAGGCATAAGGCTCCTGAGTCAGATAAAAGAATGTTATTACTCACAGCAGACTAAGAAGCATAAACTTGGATCAGCTGGTGGCATCTTGGTTAAGGCAGCTGGAACCCACATGCTCAGCTGCATGGTTTGAGTCCCAGGTTAGGCAGCTAAAAGCACCCCAGGAGGGCCAGTAGAAGGCATAGTGGTTATGCTGATGGACTCCCACATAGCTGACAGCAGTTTAAGTCCTGGACCTGGTGGCTTGAAACTTATGATAGGCACATGTGCTTGCATGCTCAAGATTCTGGGAGGAGAATGGAGAAGTGATTGCAGCATGACCATTCCTCCATAGGGTGATTTCTCACTTTCTCTCTCATTGTCTCTGTCTCTTTCTCTCCCCAGAAAGCGAATGTGCTCTAAGGCAAAAACCTCTAAAAAACAATCCCCCAAACACCCCAAGAGCATGTGCATGCATGCTGAAAATCACAAAAGAAATAGAGAAGGGAGTGCTTTCCCACTTTATTTCTCTCTCTCCTGGTCTCTTGCCAGCAACCACATGCACCCTCTAGCAAATTAAAAGAAAGAAAAAAAAACCCATAAACTTCATGTCCTTATCAATTCTCCATGTCATTTAAGTCCCACAAGGGCCATGTGGAGGGTCCAGGTGGTTGAAGCAGATGGAATGAGTTTATGTGACAGTTAATCTTACAGTTAGGGAATCCAACCTGCTTGATCTTTGCTCCAGATGGAGAGACTATATATATCTCTAAGGTGGTTAGCAATATAAACATCTTAATCTTTTTTAAACTATCATAAGCCTTGATCTTTATTTTTGTAAAGGAGGCATATAACATGTGGAACCAACACTTTATGGCAGTAAAAACATATTTTAAAATCTAATCAACTGTAGTGCCACCAGATGGTGTGGGGTTAAGGTACTGGACTCACACATGACCAACTGTGTTTTGTGTCCCAGACTTCGTGTTTGGAATCGCTCTGGGTGTGCATGCATGCACATATGTGCTCAAAATTCCAGGAGAAGAGATGTGAGATGGCCATCCCCCCTAGGGGGGGGTGATTTCTCATTTTCCCTCTCATCATCTCTCTCTGTCTCTCTCTGATGAATGCACACACCCTATGGCAAAAACGTAAAAAGAAAAAAATACATATAGATGTGTAATACACACACACACACACACACACACACACACACATATTTATATATAAAGACAAACTGAACTATAAACAGGCCAGTTTCTGTGCAATGAAGTCTGATTTTGACTGAATTTCAGCTATTTTCAAAATTGTTTCTCTGTAAAGGGAAAGGCTCACTTTTAGGTTAGTTCCCATTTTCTTCTTTTCTCCCTGAAGTTCTTTTTTGTGCACATGGATTTTTTCCTCTTTGTTTGATAAAGCATCCACAGTGGTACTACTCTTTTCATTTATTTCACATTTCTGCATAAGGTTGCTCTGAGCATTAGCTAAGGCAGTAAAAAAAGAACCAAGGGTAACCATTTCCTTCTCCAAAGTCAATGCCAAATGATCAATGAAGAAATTCTCCTTTCCAAATTTTAGATTTTTAAATAAACAGTCTATAGGGAGACTTGTGATGAGATTATGAAGGCACTGGAACAAAATTGTTTGGCTCCTGGAATAGACTATTAAAACTCCTTCAAATTTTGTCCTTTGTTTCCAATTAAAGAGTGTCCCATAAAAATTTCCCAATCTTTTGCAAAAGTACATTTCTGGAAATTCTTTAATTATTTCACATTTCATGTGTTTTAAAAGCCACACTTTCACTGAGTTTAGGGCATAGTCGGGTGATGTGACTTGAACACAAGATTTGTGCAATGCTGCGAGAAGTGCAGAAAGATCTTCTAAGTGTCCTATAGGCTTCTTTGGAAATGTCAGTAGATATTTTCCACTTGAAAGATCTTCTAGACTTAAACAAAGTCTGCCACACAGAATATAATGATCTTCAGGATCGTTAACATTTTCTCTCTCCCTAATTTGTAATAGCACAGTGCAAGAAAGTTTATTGAATGCTAAAAGTGGCAAAACTGATGTTACAGCA